CTGGTTCTTCTATTTCTAGGTTCTAGCTTGTTTCGGCCGATTTCCGAAGTTGGCAGCATGAGCGAGCGTCTTTCAGAAAAGGAATGAGCAATTCAAATTGTCAAGGGCCCAAACCACGAAGGATTTGGTAAGCTGGTAACGCTGTTGAATTGCTAAAGAGAGAAGGAGAAGATCTCTCTCACTGCGATCTGCTATTTACATCTGTGGGCAAACGGTCTACCCATCCCTTCTGCCTTAGGCCGCAAGGCCACAACACACAGACTGGGCAAAGCCCAAGACTGTCACAACAACTTGTAATTGTATGACCACGTGTATGACGACTTGTACACTGGCATCGACAATGACCCATATGACGACTTGTATGATCGCCCGTACATCGACTTGCACGACGACTTGTATTTCAACTGTATGACAACTTGTACCACACACTTGGAGGACGACTTGTAGGACGACTTGCAAAACTTTCTTATGTTGCAATATCTAGTAAAGATACGACAACTCCCTTCTTTTGCTCGTCGATGCAAGCTCAAGATTTTTAAGATTTGATATTGGCACCATCGAATCAAGAGTAAATTATTCCTCAAACTTCAAGATGAGCAAGGGCATCAACTGAGACTAACGCAGACCTTCCACCATCCAGTGGACCCGGCCACCTCCCTCATCCATAGCTTCCAAGAAGCTTGTTGCATTGATCAAGAGTCTTCAAACCGCACTTCAAATCATCGCTCAGAATTTGAGCCTTGGCAATGGGCTGGCCAGAGCATGGGCTAGCGGGATGCAATCAAAAAATCCACCAATTCCCCCGGCCCAAGGCTTGAACACAGCCGGCGTGGCTTCACTTGGATCACCTTTCTCCGCCCTCCAATGCACTTCCCGCCCTTATCCTATTCCCTTCGCATGGCCACCTCCCCATCTATTCACTTGATCGACTATGACGAGGGGAAAGAATATAAGCCGCCATAGGTCGACTGCGAGCTCGGGTACCGACATCTAGCGCTCTACAGATACCGTCAAACGCTCTTCGCTGGCGAGAAGCGTGATCGAGCTATGCCTATAAAGGTCGCTACGGATGAAGTGCGTACTATCTCTCATTTATATGTTAATATATTCCGGGAGACGAGTGCACCGATGCAACCGATCCGCTAGTTGCTTCATTGTCACTTGTCCTGGTATTGTTATCATCGCCTGGTAGATATGCAGCAGAATAACATTTCTTAGTCCCCCACTGCTTATTCAGTTCTTGCTTCACAATCAGATTCGAAATGTAATAAACATCCATCATGGAGTAGTCTCATGTGGGACGATTGCATAGATTCGAAGCGCAACCAGCATCCATAACTGTGGGGTTCACTCATGTGAGGCGATAGGATAGTTTTCGTTAAGGCAGGCGCTGGATTCCCATTGCATGTTTGTTTGCATGCATGGATAGGTGTCGGTCATATTCCGAATATCATTGGAACTTTCTGCAAACTGCACCAAGAGGCAAGAGCCATCCTGCACATCCAAAATCATCAAGGCTCTAGAAAACTTGCAGGCAGGAAATGCTTTGTGATCAGGCTTTCGGTTGGACACAACGAATCAACGATATATTCATTTCTAGGCGCGAGCTCCACACCGTACTATTGAGGGAAGATGGACTAAATGGCAGGTTGATGCAGCTGTACTGTTCAGTGAGCTGATCGTCAATGCCACATCATTGCAACTCAATGGATCAATCTTAGAGCCGGGGAGGGAGAACATATAGGAGGTGGAAAGGAGTCAATCATTCCCGAATGACGACAACATATATGGGAAATACTGATGTTGAGTATGTTTTATATTGGTGGAAGTATATCTCTCTCATATAACTATAAGTACCTCACAATATTCAAGGGATGAAAATACTGAACGCTCGACTGGAGCAAAGTCAGGAAAGTGGGCGAAATGCCATACGAAGCTGACCTGATGTACGAAGAAGTGCTAACAACCGATACAGACACAGCTGCCAGAGAACAGGGGGGACTCTCGTGTCTTCCGCGCACAACTCACCGAATAGGGTGCCGTTGAATTTGAGTACCACGAACAGCATGGTTGGTCCCTTTGGCTCATATTGCCCAGAATAGGTATCCCTGTGAACAATAATAACGAGTTGTGAATATGGCATCTATTGGTTCTTCACTCTCATAAACGGAAGGTCATCCACACACAAAGTTCGTATAACGCCGAGTATATCAAGCTCGGTGGTATTAGTTGTATTTGACAAACCGGAATCCACTCGTGGTGCTCCGAATTATATTAGGGTGTGCCAAGTCCTCTTATTTCCAGTCTCTAAGTCGAAGAACATGTGACTCATGCTCAGAGTACTCTTCGCAACACTCTTCGCAAAATTCTTCCATTGGAATGCCTCGACTTTGAGGAGGCACTAAACCGCCTGCCCGCGGCGAATAACAAACACCAGGGACATGTATAGGTGTCATATAAACAAATCTGCAACAGCTGCATGTACGCGATGGATATCAGGACACCATAGTTTCATCTGACTTCAAACAGGTCGCTTGAAATCAAACATGTAGGATTGGCTTAGCTAGTTTATGTACAAACTAGGCAGCAAGCCAGTGCAGCGGCAGCACATCCTTTGCAACTGAACTTGAACGGCAGCTGAGACATGCTATGGATCGTTTTGTATTTCAACTATGGATAGGATAGTCTGGCGCCAATTCAGTCACTCCAGTACATATAGAATCGCAAGAACAAATGTCAAAATGGTTCCAATCGACGGCATTCCAGGCTTTGAAGCAGCACTCGCCGGCTTCTTCGTCTTGATTGGTGCTCTCCACTTCCGGTCCCTACAACTCCTGGGCTACTGCTCAAGCGACCGCCAATGCCACTCAGAACATAATCTCCAACCCCGGTCGTTTGGGTCGCTCCGGATGTTGTTCCCAGCACTGACGTCCTCCCTGCGACGATAATAGTGCCGCTTGTTCCAATTGATATGACAGTGCCATCGATGGCAATGACCGCACCAGGCTTCAACGTGCTTGATCCGATCACAATATCACCATTGGATAGAGATAGCACAGTAGAAGGGCCGATGGTGATCGAACCCGGCATTGGGTTCGAAAGGACAGTGGTATTCCCGCCGATGATGATAGTTCCGCTCGTGCCGATTGATAATGTAGTTCCCGCGATCGTAGTGACTGCCCCGGGGGGGAAGAGTTTTGGTTCCAAGGAATATTCTACCATTGGATCTGGACAGGGTCGAGGATAGGATCGAAGGCCCAACGGTAATTGCGGGACCTTGATGGGTCACTGGGCCAGGAGGAGTGAGTGTGGTGGAGGAACCACCGATGACTAGCACCTGCGGGTGACCATCTTCAGGATTTCCTCCCGGTGAGTTTGAACCGGAACCAGATTGTCCATTGCCTGCCTGTCCTAGAGATGGGTCTATTGTGGGGAGACTAATAGCAACATCATTAAAAGTCACAGTTTGCCCCAGCGAAACCGTTTGGCCGCCAACGATAGCACCGCCTGGGATAGGGATGTATCCCACTGGCTGACCGTTAATGGTGATAATGTCATGCTCACCAATGGAATCCACCCCAGAGCTTACTCCTGTATTGGAGCCAGCCCCACCAGGCATTCCCCCTAGTAATCCACCAATGCCGTCGCCGACAGATTTGCCTGAATCAACCTGGCCGCTGGGAGAGGTGTTCGAGGCGCCACCGCTATTGCCTCCGCCAGAGCTAGAATCCCCGCCCAAGATGCGACCGATTTCCCCACCGACGTTTTTTCCATTTTGGACCGCGTTTACGTTACCGTTGTTGGATCCAGAGCCAGATCCACCATTTCCTCCCTGAGAAACTCCCCCATTTGTATTGTACCCCTGCTGCTGCGGTCCTTGGTTCCATTTCCTCCTCCAATTCCTCCCTCCCAGTTGTTTCCGTTCCAACAATCGTTACCATCTCCACTGCCTCCAGCAAATGGCACACCCGAACCAGTGCCCCCTTTCGAATGCTCGCGGATCACATCTGGTTCAGCCATGTTGGTCTGAACACTGACGCTGGTATGGTAAATCACATTCGTGGGCTGATGGACGAAAAATTCCTCGGGGGATTTAAGTGAGCAATTGGCGATATCGACACCTGGCGCAAGCGTTATTTGAGCTGAGGCGGGATAGTATCGAGCTCGCTGCGATATTGCTGACCGACTCGCCTGGCTGTAGAACTCCGATTGAGCCGTTGCGTTCTCTGTGGGACTTCCAGGAGGAATGGGGATGACGAAAGAAGGAAGACCAGTGGACAAAATCGTGATATCGGCATTTTTGCTGAAAGCGCATGTGCTTGGGTTTGGAGTGACACTTGACACGGTCCTGCCAGTCGTCGCCAAGAACTGTGTAAAGGCAATGTATTTCGTCGGCCAAGTAAAGATATTCTCCAATGTCACCCAAGTAAGAGGGTCGGTTGGAGGAATCGTTGCGTCCACCGGAAGAGTCTGGTTTAGGCCCTTAAGGGCGGTCAGTATTCTCAGAAACCATGTAGGTAAGGATTCCTACCAGATATGTCACCGTGTGATAGGATATTTCGTTGCTTCCATCATCATATATCGTCACGTGAGGAAAAATAGACTCAGTCACGCTGTATTTGTATTCAATCACCTCCACAGTTCCAGGGTATTGCAGTAGCCAAATCAGAGGCTTAACAATGCACTTCTGGCATAAATTGCCTTTTGTCGGCGTTGGCGGAGCAGTTGGAGCAGGAATGTACCATTAGGCCATGATATCGTCTCTGGAGAATGTTAGATGTGTAGTATTCAATGGAAAATAGAATTCATACTCGACGGAATAGCAGTCGTCAGATTGATAGCGTTGGTGAAGGGAACAGTTAGGAGAGCGATAATGCATGAGAATATTAGTTATACGCTCCATCGCTAAGTTAGTTAACTAGTTAACTAACTTGACGCTTATTCGAACTAACAGGTGAAGTCAGGACTCGCTGCACCAAGGCCTTGTAATATTATATCACACACCATGGCAAATGGAACTGAAAACGATGGAAGAGAACTTCGGTATATCGGAGAAACGAAAGGCCCAACTAAACTGGTCAACTCTGCTGTCACAGTCCAAAGACAGAAGAAAACTGCTAGAAAACTGCCAGAAGTCTAGACCAAATGATCGACATGATATAAGGCTGGACATGGGGTCAGATAACTACCCTGAATCGATTTGTTTACGAACCAACCGTAGAACCTGCGATTGTCCTGTTCAAATCGCATCCCTCCGCTGTGAAAGGCATGGCAAAAGAAACACCATGAGACAAATCCAGTGGCGATCGTGGCTGGCTGCTATGCACCCAATGCCCAATGATGTTGATATGCCTATTTTATTTACGTAGTAATACTCACCAATAGGATTCCAATGCATACATTCATGCAGGTTACCCATGATTTTTGCCCTAGCAGACAATTCATAGAAAATGGATATCGGAGACTTCTAGTAGGTGAGGCTTCTACAAACATCAACAGATAACTTCACCGCGTCTGGCAGTGATCAATCTAGCTGTTCCACATGATATACTCACCCAATGATGAAATTATACTAGCTTATGAGTAGTCTCCACGATAGCACCTCCTGAGACACGATGCAAAGATTTGGTTGCGTTTGACGAAGGAAAAAAGAGAACGGCTCACAGCTCCAAGTTGTTTTTCCCATATGATGGTCCGGCATAGGATGGACTGAGTTTATCCGTGTTCCTTCATGCGACATGATTGACGGTTTAGAAGGTCAGGTAGTCCAATCGCTTTCTGCGAACTCGGCGAGCTGAACGGACGCGAAACTTTCCACTCAGCTCGTATTTGGTTTGGCCAATCAAAATCGTTGTTGCACAGCATCAGGGGAATGTTGAGTGCACTCGGCTGGCTGCGAAGTATTAATAACTAGGAAATGAAATGACAGACCACCCTTATCAACGGAAGCAAGGGTAACGGGCAGACGGATGTAATATTGTGATGGCGAAGTACTCCGTAGATGAGCAATATTCCAATCGAGACGATGATGAGCACGACGGTCTGGTTTGTAGGTAGAGCAGTTTAGTGCCTTAGGCTCTAAGGCATCAAATGTGCTCAAGATTTGTTCACTGTTTAAGTTCAGTTTGAATAGAATGAAGTCTGCTTGACATACCTTCAGGTACGTACCGGTAGGAAAGCCATCAGTTTTCTTTTACACCTTTTTCTCCTCTTAAGGATATTCTATAGTCCATTGCTACATGGCATAGTTTTGACCGCATCAACAATAGTCATGGGCTCCAAAGCCGAGTAGGTCAACATTCAAACCACCGAAAGTGCCGAGCTAAAAGACCATAGACGGGTCCAAGAAGCTGTCAGAGAGGCGATCGTCGAATACCAAGAATTGAATGATTCAAATGTACAGGTTGTTGGCGAGGAGCCCAGCCCGCTGGAGTTCATGCGACTCGTTGCCCTGAATCGTCCATGTCTCATCAAGAAAGGGGCAAGAAATTGGACTGCAGTGCGGAAATGGAACAGCAAATACCTTTCCAATGTAATGAGAGATGAGGAAGTCGAGGTTGCGGTCTCTCCATTAGGGTAAACTGGCAACGATTACGATTAATATCATCTTCCTTGAAGTCTCACTGAAACAATCTGCTTCAGGAACGCAGATGCGCCTGTCAAGACCGAGAATGGTGACTATTGGTTCGTTAAACCATTGGACAAAACCATCAATTTTGTCGCAGCTGTAGAACATATAAAGATGGAGGAGGCATCGGCAGAGCAAGGTATGCTTATTTGGAAGCACCATATCCCAACACTGACAACGGCGCAGGTCCACATGTTCAGTATTGCCAATCTCGTAGGTTCGAAAGAGTGCCCATCATTATCCTTTTATCCAGCTAACCAAAAGAAAGAAAATGATAACATGAGGAACGAATACTCGCCTCTCCTCGATGACATCCCCCGGGACATACCGTGGGCGAGAATCGCCCTTGAAAAAACCCCTGACGCCATAAATTTTTGGCTGGGTCACTCGAAGAGCACCACGTCGCTCCATAAGGACAATTACGAGAATGTATATGTTCAGGTTGTCGGATCCAAAACATTTACTATCTTACCTCCCGTGGAGACAGCCTGCGTCAATGAACAGATGCTACCGACGGCAACCTATGTGGAGGACAGTGAAGGAAGACTCGTTCCAACCTTGGATGATGACCCCAGCCCACGACCGTTTCCGCTCTGGGATCCCGACCAGCCTGAGGAGAATGCGTCGCCTCTGTCAAAATATGCCAGACCGATAGTGGTGACGCTAGAGCCGGGGGACATGTTCTATCTACCCTCAATGTGGTGGCATAAAGTCGCCCAGAAGTGCGGAGAAGAAGGCATATGTGTTGCGGTGAACTACTGGTAAGCTCAAATTAAATTCAGCTGCTTCTGGCCGTATATAAAGCTAACACTCGCTGCAGGTATGACATGAACTTCAATGGTTCGTTGTACAGCCTTGAGAAGATGGCGCAGGGTGTTTCCTGGGCATTGTTCCAGGAAGAGGGAGACCAACGGAGGGAACATGGGGAGAAACAAGAATTGTGATAGATCGGGTAAGGTAATGGAAACATATTTCGCACAAGTCACAATCTTCTTCAACTCTCCCAAACAACAAAGCGGGGGGTATCGTATCCTAGCCCAGTATCCTAGCCTAGACTCTTCGACCATTTGCGACCAGACTCCAGCGCAAGCAACGAGCTCAATGTTTCCGTTTTACATTGTGCACCTTTACACCCCATCCCCTCACACTACTCCACACGCTGTCGCTTACGCTGGGAGGCAGCTTCCTACCTTTCAACCGCTGATCCACGAGCCACATGCCGACAACGAACTCCTCTCTTGTCAGGCACCCAATTTGCCTGCTATCCACAAGCTCCCAAACTTCTGCCAGCACATCGGCAGGAAGCCGACTCCGACCCCAGATCTCTCTCACCGCCACATTTAGCACCTCGTTCTCCGGCCCATTGATTCCGGTGATATTCTTCTGCACTCCGCCGCCCGAACCATGGGAGTTCAGCACCTGACTTCCTTTATTTGCGGCCCAGACGCCCTCGTACCGCTTCCTCTCGCGTTCCATGACCTGGTCTCGCCACCGCTTTCGGCTTCCCTCGTGGTGTTTATTCGGATGCTTCCGCACAAAATGTCTCCGTCCACGACCATGCTTGCCCCGCCCTTCCTCGTCAGAATCGGAGCTTCCTGCGGACGAAGGGCCGCGGCGCATAGTACTACGCAGCTTTGTCTGCGTAGGACGCTCAGGTGAGGGATTGCGAGATTTATGGCGAGGGAAGGGGAAATGATGATTGTGGTTGTTGTGCCGCCGAGGAAGCGGAGGTGGGGGGGACGAAGATGGTGTGGGGTTGCGCGATGCAGCAACAGCAGCGCCGACCATTGCGTTTGCTAGCGATGAAACATTGGGTTTTTGATTCGGTGGCCTTTGGCTATGAATAGAACGAGGTGATGGTGAGATTGGACCAGCTCGTTTCGTGGGTTCTACCATTGGTGTTCGTGGTCCGGTCTGTAAACCAATTGCTCCAGGCGACAGGTTTGTAGATGGGTCATCTTTTACAATGTTCCGAACGACCTCATTAGGTGGCGAGACCTTTTTGGCGGTGCGTCGGGGTGGTGGCAGATCAGGTTTCGCTTGGGACTCGATATGTAGTGATTGTCTTGGTTGTTTTGGCGTAATTGGCCTCTCTACAGGCGGTTTCGTTATTGTGGGAGGTTTCTGGCCGACCTCTGGTTTAGGCGAACTCGTCTCATTGCCACTCACTTTCGATGTTGTTGCCAGCTCTTGAGAAACGTGTGTCGAGGGCTTCCGTGGCGGTTTCGGCACCTCTTTCAGGATAGCGGTCCCTGCATCTATTTCTGAATGGATATCATCCATAGCACGTACTCCAGTCTGATCTTCGATAAGAGCTATCTTCCTTTGCGGCTTCGGTGATCGGAGCGGAGGACGGGCGCCGTGCGACTCAAGCGGCGGAACAGACCTCGTGCCATCATTGTTCCGCCCTATCATCGTCGCGCGCGGCCGTTCGCGAGAGCTAGGCGAGGAAATACCCCCCGTGTTATCTTTCCTCCTGTCCTGGGCGATTGCCCGGCTCGACCCAGCCACGTCCGATCCATCGTCGAACTGTGATCTAATGTTTCTCACGGTCCCCGGCTTAGCCATACGATCTTGCGCAGGCCCTTGGGAGGCGGAACTTCGCGTCGATGCATCTCCCGAGGGCTTGGGAGTATGTCTCGCTGCCGCGAGGACGGCTGCGATATTCGAGGGAGATGTTGACCTCGATGTAGCCATGTGGGGAACTTCTAGCACCGGTCGATTACTCATTACACTCCATGATGGCGAGGATGGCCCAGATCGGTCGCTTAGGCTGCTTTGATGCTCTAGGTGATCCATATCGTCGTCGGTCATGGAGGGCGTCGAGATCCGACGAAGATGGCCATTGCTGGCTCTGTCACGCCCAGCCTTTGTTGCCCCAGCCAGAGCACGGCTATCTCCAGTATTATTATTGACAAGAGGATTCGTCCGGCCGGGGGACCTTGAGAACGCAGAGGCGGCTCCGATCAAAGCAGCGTCTCGGACATTATAGAGGGGGGGATGATCCGTTGTAGCACGGCGGCTGGAGACCGAGCTGGATCGCGTGCGTGCTTCGTTGTTCATAGAGCCATGAGGTGTGGAACCAGTCACAAGGCAAGGGACGGGTTGGTAATACTGACATTAAGGATGTGGCCGTCAAGCTGATGTCAACTCAGGATGTCGGTTGCCTCGTCCCGTCGTCCGGTTCGACCCTCGAGCTCCTGAACTGCGTCACAGGCGCAGGTGGTTGGGCGAGGGTGGCGGTGCAAGTGGCGGTGCAAGAGCGTATCCAAGGCGTGCCAAGGCTCCCAGCCTCGCCCCCAGTCACCTGACTCTACGGAAGACACTGGATGGAGTGCAGCGATTTGGGTTCTATAGCAATTTGTTCTGTTCAAGTCCTGTTCCGCTGAAGATTTGCTCCATCTGATCACTTTGTGCCTAGTGCCGTGGCATTCAAATTTTCTGTTACATGTTACTGTGCTCAGCTTGAGTGTTACAAGCAAGCCCCTCAAGCCTTCCTCAGCCCCCCTCCTACCTGTCCGGGAACCATGCCCGGCTGGATGCTGAGTGTATCCCTCCCTGTTTCTCCTGGTCACATGTTCACCGTTGGTCCAACCCAATGTCGGACGAGATGGAAAGTTGAATCGGAAATATCAACAATATGGCTCTGAATTTTCACTGTTTGCGTTCCTCCAATACATAGGTAGTGCCCGAATACATATACATTGATGTCAGTGCTCTCATCGGCGTTATACAAATGCCCTTCAGTGGACTGCATACAGGCATGTGTTCGAACCCCTGCTGTCCTTGCTGCTCTCTGGAGATAGAGCATGGGGAGGATGACCTATGCTGTAGCGGCTCCTTGGTCCCAGCCCGACTTCAAGACTTCTGCTGGCGGTCCGCTTGCTGCAACTTTACCTTTGTCCAGCACGATACAGAAATCGGCGTCTTTGACTGCCTCCACACGGTGGGCGATCGTCACTACCGTACTCTGCTTTAGCTCGTCCCTCAAAATCTGTTGGATGTCCATTGCGGTCTTCTTGTCGATCGATGCTGTAGCCTGCTTTAAGGTTAGAACATATTTTTTCCTAACACGATATGCGAATATACTTGCCTCGTCGAGAATCACTATAGGACTTCGCCTTAATGCTGCTCGCCCAAGTCCCACTAGTTGTCTTTGTCCTTGACTCAGATTCTTTCCGCCCCCATCAATGTGAGAGCCCAGAGTGAACTCATTCCCCAGCACTTTTTGGAGCACCTCGGAGCACTCATCATCCGTATGATCCCCGAGCGGATCCAGATTCTGCCGCAGAGTTCCAGGGAACAGAACCGGATCCTGTGCCACGAAGCTGATACGCTGGCGTAGCGCATGGACGTCGACTTTGGAAACATCCATCGAGCCGATGCAGATACTACCGCCCGGTTCTGGCCGGACCGTGGCCAGAAGACTCAAAGCCAAAGTGCTCTTTCCAGAACCGGTCCGACCGACTACCGCAACCGTCGAGCCACCTGGTATGCGAAGTGAAATGTCTTCCAAGGAGGGCTCCAAGTTAGCCGCATACCTGACAGACACATTCTTGAAGATGATATCGTCAGCGTAGCTCGGCCAGGATGCGGGCGGTTTAATATCTCCTTCAGGCTCCTGTTCAATGCTCAGAAGCTCGATAACCCTCTCTACAGATACGAAATCCATCTGCAGCTGGCCATAGCATTTACACAGTCCATGAGTGGACAGGACAAAGTTCGAGGCTGCAGTTAGAACGAAAGCAGTAAGGCCCGGAGACAATCTCTGATATAGTGCGAGCAGCGTGAGCAAGAATGTGGCCAGCGCAGAGAGAGCATCAAAACGATACATCAACCAAGTTTGAAGGCTCCAGTAGAAGTGATCCATCTTCTGAAACTCATCAACAGTGGCTATGTTGCGTTGCTGGAAATGACTCTGCGCTCTGAAGGCACGGACGGTGGAAAGGCCCTCAAGCAACGTCCCGAAGTTGGACATCAATGGACTGAGGGACACCATCTCAAGCCGGCGGAGACTTTGCGACGTCGGGAGGAAGCGTAAAAAGACGTAGATGAAGGCGCCGGTCAGTACCAGGGCGAATGCAAGAAATACCGGGGTTGACGCCGCAATGACAGCAATAGCCGTCAGCCAGGCAAACATGTACCACACGAAGAGTTGCAGTTGATTGATAACAGCTCCATCCAGAGTACCCATATCGGACGTCAATCGGTTCATTAGACGACCCACGGGAGTAACGTCGTAGAATCGAAACGTTGCGTTGCTGACACGGTGCATGATCCGATGGAAAAGAGTCTTCCCGGACACGTACATGGGAACAATCATGAGGGCCCCAGATATTCCGTATGCAATGACTTGAATGAGTGACAGGACCAAGAAACCAACGAGCCAGGGCATTATATTGTCGTCCGGAGAAGGAAATCGATCGAAGAATCGGTTTAGGCCATTGGATGTCGGACTAGCATCAGGATTTGAGACCGGACCTTCTTGAGCACTCTTCATTCCCGTAAGTTGAATCATTAGTGAAGGGGCGCCACGCTCGTAGGCTTCACCCCAAACCTTGAGATACCAGAAGCCGCCCAGTCGCATGATGCGGTAAAATGCGAAGGCAATAAAAATAACTGCCCACCATCGAAGCTTTCCAGCTTTAACATAGTCCCAGTAGACCGAGGCCATCACTCCACCCGTTGCTCGGTGTTCATCTTCCATAAACTTATCCGGAACTGCGGCATCTTCTTGATCTTTCGAGTCGGAGTCCAACTCCACGGGTTCATCAGTGGACGTAATCCGCTTTAACAACACCTCATTGCCTGCAAGCTCCTCGAGATCGAGGATAGTTGCATGGCCATCGGATATCTCCACAACTTGGGACGCGAAAGGATTGACCAGATCGACGCGATGTGTCACAAAGACGATAAGTCGGCCATTAGATAAAGGTCCTCGCAACAGTTTCTGGACAATCGTCTCGGCAGTATTGTGGTCCAGTGCAGCAATGGGATCGTCCAGCAGCAGTATTCGTGCTTGGCTGTAGACTGCTCGAGCTAATGCGACTCGAGCCTTTTGTCCCCCAGATAGACCGACGCCATTCTCCCCAATGTTGGAAAGATCCCCAGACTTGAAACTTGCGAGGTCGGGAAGTAGGCAGCACGCTTCGAGAACTTGCTTATATCGACGCTCATCATATTCAGACGAGAAGAGAATATTTTCTCGGATGCTCATGCTCTGTAGCCAGGGTGTCTGGGCACAATATCCGACATCTTCTTCAGGGACCCAGGATTCTCCACTCCGATGGTCCAACTCGCCTAGAATGGCTTGAAGTAAAGCAGTCTTTCCTTGGCCAACCTTCCCGCACACGACCGTAACACCGACGGGAAATGTAAGATTGATATGCTCTAGCACAGTTTTGTCGCGACCAGGCCATGAATACGAGGCATCATGGATCTCCAATGACAGGTCTTGAGGTCCAATCGCAGGCCCATGAGATTCTTTGTCGGGTTCGCTCATGAACTCTTCTATTCGACCAACTGCGATGTGCGCATTCAAAAGGACCGTCACCAGATCTGGAAGTTCCGCGAGACTGGTGCTCAACATATCGAAGAGGGCAAGGGCCGGAAAGGCGATCTCAATTCGCAGGGGACGGCCTTCAATCGCAGTATACGCGTAGAAAGCTGCCACCGGGAAGAGATAGGTAGCCCCTAGGTTGATGGTTCGTATTGCCGAGGTGATCATGTAGGTCAACACACGCAAGTTGAGCTCTCGATGCCTGGCCTGTAGGATTTGTTGAAGCCATTTGCTTTGCCAGTCGTACCAACGAAGATGCCGGATGGCCTCGACGTACTGAGATACCACTTGTAGCTTCGTATCCGTCACGGAACGACGTACTCGTTCCCAACGCAAGTTGAGTTTCACGAAGCCCCAGTTGACTAACTGGCTTAGAATGACGAACAATAGCCCCAATAAGCAAGCGGGGCCAAGGATCCGCCAAACGAGAACAACTGATAAGACCACATTCAATGGTTTTGTCAAGATTGAGGGGAACTCCCAGAATCGTTGGGCCACCTCATACACATCATTCCTCATGAGGTTCAGAATCTTGCCTGCTGAAGCTGGCAGATTGGACATATGTGTGTTCGGAAGCGCAGATATTCCTCCGACTGTCTCGCGTTGGCCTTTGCTCTTGTTATTCCCAAACGGCAAGAACTGCTTCACTTTCGACCAATATGATCTGGAGGGTTTACTCTCCAGGCCATTCTGCGGTCCATGTCCGTTCGCTCCATTCGCCTCGTTTTCAGTGTTTCTAGTTTCTTGCTCGTCTTTGTGTTCGCTAGGGAACGTGAAGGCCTTTCTTGTTAATGTCTTCTCATAAATCATTGTGATCATCTCCCCCCGGGAGCGTTCATAGCATCTACGACAAAACCAGAGAGAAAAGACACCCGATTGAGTCTTGACTAGACGCAATATGGCAACCATGATTGTATATACCATAGCTGCTCTACGAGAGGGGTTCTCGCGCGAAATAGATGCCAAAAATTGCTTGAATAAAACGATGGTCGAGAGTTCTTCAACTCGTCAGCAGCATATTCACAATGGCACTATCTGGACTTACCAATGACGGTTTCGAGTGTTCCGAGCACAGTGATTATGAACAAATCAGGAGCATTGGCCTGCAACAGCCTTCCAACAACTGTTCCTTTTAGCTCTCGGAAAAGTGAGTGTAGTCTCTCGTGCTGGAAGTCGAACGGCAAAGCCCAAACATCTTTTTCTTCCAACTGACGCGTCGAGCCTCTCGCCATTAGAGGTCCCATCCACGATACCGACATCCATTGCCACACATTAATCCTCTCCTCTGGGCTCCGAAGACTTGATGATGGTGGTTGATGAGGAGAGCTTATGCTACTATAATCAAAGAACTTGCTTTTGGTAGGCATGCAAAGGACTGTCGCCAGGAGAACCAGGGACATGCTGGTCTGGAACACGAAAGCAGTTGTGTATGTAGCGCTTGCATTAGGAAAGGCCGTAGCAATCAACATTTCAGAGATGAGCAACAAGCAGTGCAATACGACCTGCGTTCCCGGAGCTGTCACCGGGCGGTCCACGGCGGATAGTAGTAAGGAGATGAGCTTGCCAGTTGTCAGCTATTTTCGGGTGTTCTGAATTCAAAGAAGGTGCTCATGATCATACCCATGGTAGAGTCAACGCAACTTGGAGTGGAGATCGCAGGAATATAGCGAGAGTGGCAGCGGAAGATGCTCCTACGCTCGTTACAATAAGTACGGCAACAGTCCAAATCGACCATCTCTTCTTTTCGGGGAACTCATTCTCAGGTGTGATAAAGTCCTCGCTCGCAAAATTGCGCAGCCATTGGGCTCTCCGTCTCCAGAGAGGCAGAGCGAGATATTTAAGTAGTAATAAGACAGCAATTAGGGTCGGAAGCCATGCAACGACAGCTACGCAGCCTTGAGAGACTCTCGCATCCTCCGCGTCCTAAGGCTTGTCAGTACGATTCAAGCTCAAGCATTCCGGATGAGAGGGAACAGCTCCGTACTCACCCAAAGGCATTGGCAAGCCTTAAAGTCCACGAAGTCTTGCCATTTGGATCCATCAGTCCAATTGCCCATCGCCAAATACAGCTACATATGCCCCGTTTATAGAACGTCTCGATTCTTCAGCGAGGATGAAGCTTATGGATTTGCTCGATGGCTGCTCTGAAGTTTCACAATGTAATATCTCGTCGTGATTGGATACTAATACTATACACCGATAGTCCCCTCGAGGTCCCAGATATTCCTGTGGCGTTGTGGTGGGGGGAGTGGATGAGTGAGCAAGGGATTGCCCATTTGGGCCTTGTTGCCTCAGGCAGATACACTGGATTTCGTTTGTTCATTCGGTTTGTTCTGTTTAGGTTCTTGACAAGCCGGATTCTGGACTGCCGATTCCAAGGGGGCGAAGCTTCTGTCCGTTCGTATTGGCGTCCGGATTCGTGGCAAGTTCATCCCTATGTCGTCACGGACGTAGCGAGATCCTCTCAACTATCCAGAGTACCAAACCAGAATGCAGGACCACAGTTCAGGATGCAGAAAACGTTGTTGCTGTGTTTTATCCATGGCTTCAAGGTATGATATTTGCCGGCTGTTGCTGAATGACGCTGAACGTGGAATAACAGGGCGACGACGATACCTTTGCTGGCTTCCCAGCACACCTACGAGCCATCTTGAGCCATGCTCTCCCTCGTTTGAATATCCTCACCATCGTGTACCCCCGCTTCGAGACGCGAGGCGACCTGCGCGAGACCGTCGCTCGTTTCAAAGAATGGCTGCAGAATAAGGTCATCGACCTTGAGGTCGCAAATGGAACCCCCAGTCCGACCGTGGATCCCTCCGTCCATGTTCTCTTGGTTGGCCACAGCATGGGTGGAATAATCGGCGCCGAGACACTGCTCTCCATTTCGCGCGATCAACCCGTCTCGTCCCCTACAAACCTCTCCTCCTCAAAATCATTCTCCTCTGATCCGTCCTCGTTCATGTTCCCGTATATCTCGGGTCTACTGGCGTTCGACACCCCTTATCTAGGCATCTCTCCCGGGGTGGTTGCGCACGGCGCCGAAAAGCACTGGACCGCCAGTCAGACTGCATACAACGCATATAACAGCTTCTCCTCCGCGTTCCGGGGCTCGAATGCTTCCGCAGGCGGTGGCACAGCCGAACAGATATCGGCAGGAGCTTCAACCCAGAAAGCTGCAGAAGGTGCCAAACTGGTCCAGGCAGCCAGCGATGCCAATGCAGATGCGGCGCGCACCCCTGCATGGGCGCGATGGGGCAAGGTCGCGATGTTCGCAGGCGCAGCCGGAGCCGTTGCAGCCACGGGAGCGGCCGCGTATATGAATCGCGGTGCCTTGACGTCCGCGTACAGCGAGAGCTGGAGCTGGGTTAGCGGCCATCTCATCTTCGTGGGCTGCCTAACGAGAGGCGAAGAGCTGCGGCAGAGGATGGCGGCTGTGGAGCAGGAGGTGCAGACGCGAGGCGTAGGGTTCTCGAATTGCTATACGGTGCTGGGCCGTGGAGCGAAGAACGCAGACGGTTGGTTTGCGGCTGGAGGAGGCGAGAGTGGAGATATGGCCAAGCTGGAAGATGGGACTGAACGAACATTCGTGGTGGTCCCGAAGGAAAATGGGAAGAGTGGCTGGCGGAAATTTTTCATCCCTTGTGTGAATGACGCCGCGTCCGCGGAGGTAGGGGCACATATGGCGATGTTCACACCCCTCACGAATCCGGGATACTACGAGATGACACAGAAGGCCAGGGAGCTGATCGTCGCGTGGACACTGAGCGAAAGGGGGAAGGAATGGTACGATGAGGCCGACATGCCTAACAACGGACCGGAAAAGCTTGAAGAGGGCGAGATTATTTCTCCCGACGATACCGCGGTGGACGGTGACTATGAAATGGAGTTTGAAGACGTGAAGCGGACGGCATGAATAACGGTCGCTGAAATAGCTATCAATTAGGTATAGGTGGTTTGTGCTCAATCGGTTCACGCTTTAACATAACTTTATGGGAAACAATCGGTTACTCGAGTCCATTCAATTATGATAATGTACACTACTATAAGATTCCGGTTGTAGGAAACCGTATTCGTCAACGTCATTATTGTCCTCCCGCGACTGCGTCCCGAAAATTCCTTCGTCGATAAATCATTTATCGCGTCTTCCATTGTCCAGCATCCTTTGTACCCTTTGCGATGTTCGCGCTTCCGTCTTGTACCCCATCGCCGACATCCTTCAAGGCATCACCGACCGGCTTTCCAGCACTGCCAGTGGCGCCAGTGACCGTCTCGCCCAGTCCGCGCCCGACGGCGCCGACGACTCCACCGACGGTATTGGTGAGGCCGCCCACCGTATTTCCTAGAGTCGAGGTGACGGCTTTGGCGCCTTGGGTAACGCCCGAGTCTTTGTTGTTGGAGACCGTCATAGTGGTTGTGGAGGTTGAGTAATGGGGCTTTGGTTGATTTGGATGGAAAAGCAGCTGATTGGATAAATGGGGATTCGATGCTAGCAGTGAACCGTGATGCGAAAACCACTCCCCTTTTATATACCGAGGCCGTATATCAGACCGGGTTAAACTCGACCTCGATGTGTGACGTCATTTCGCGACGTCAGTGAAGATTGGACCAGTAGGGAACTAGGGATGCTGCCCCTTGGCTTTCTCTTGTCTGACCACCACCGTGGCCCGAGATTAAAAGCAAATGATAGGTAACTGGGATATAGCTGGTACCGATAAAGTCGGGGCAAGGGGCTTGCGTAAACAACCATCGACAGGTTAGATGTGGATTGGAATGTGGAGGGTGCCATCATGGTCAGGGAAAACGCTAATAGAAAAATCGCCCTATCCCTTCAAACGACTGATATCCGATTCACTAAGATATGCTACGAGCGAACGTAGTATCATGTGGAAAAGTGGATATCATCAACCTTTACTCAAATGAGAAAAACAAGAATAAACTTTAGGAGACCCTTAAAATGCTAATGCTATCAGGTGTATTCAAACCCATGGGTCTAGGATATCCATACCCCCCCAAACAATGCGATAGGTATCAAAGAGCCTGCCCAAACACGGGTGACGATTAGACTGCACCGTATCCTGATCTTCTCTCGTCCCCTTCATCTGTCTGCCGTCCCTCATCCCTTTCTAATAGCCTCCTCCGCTCCTCTCCTTCCTGCTCCGCCATCATGCGCTGCTCCGCTTCCCACTCCGCGACCCGTACGCCAATTCCCTGCGAGGCCGGCGCAATTTCATCAGGATCGTCGACGCGAACAGAAACGCCGGATGTGCCGTATGGGCTGGATGATAATGGCGAGCCGTATCGGGGAGATGCAGTTACACTTCCCGGCAGAGATACACTAGGTATCCAGCCGCGCATCCATCCGCTGACTCGTCGCCAGTGCTTCGGTCCTGAGACACTGGGATCCAGCGCGGGACTCAGAGATGGACCCAGCATTCCCTCGGTGCCCTCCGGACCTTTTAGTTTGCCGGACGGCACGGGGAGCGGTTTAGTGGCTGCACCGTCGAGTCCAGCAGCACGTTCTTGGGGTTTCTTCCTGACCAACCCACTTCGCTCGGCCCGAGCTTTGCCTTTCTTCATCACACTATCGGCATCAGAATCGAGGCTAACCCGATCGCTTTCACATTCCTCTTCTTCATTCTCGGCGATGATGACTACAGGGACGGGAATTTCCCCTTTGTGTCGGCCGCTTCGTGCAGTTTGGCGATGGGTTGAATACCACCAAAATTGCAAACCCACAGCGCCGTCCATGACCAAGACGCCCGCGGCGCCGAGGAAGAAAGGAAGAGCGCGGGTGACCCAGTCGATTCGATTGGATCCATCCTTTCCGACCCAACCAGGTGCGCTTGGGGCATCTTGGAACAAACCAAAGCCGGGGACAAACCGGTCCGATGATCCTGATGCTGGAGATGTTTGGGCGCTTTCGCCCCAGGGACCGAAGTCGTTCCAGGCGCAAGGGTTTGCCAGCATGGAGAGTGAGTAGAATAGGTTACCGCAAAATGCGGCGGCGAACAAGGAAAGAGAGAGTCCGGCAGTCGACCGTCGCCGGAAATTGTGTAGGAGTTGCGGGAGACGTGAGCCAAGGTAGAGGAATGTACTCATCCAAGAAACAACAGTTCCGATGATTTGAGTCGGAGATGACTGATCCCCGGTGGTAGATGGTCGAACAATATCGCCGGAGTCCCGTGTGGCGAGTGCGCGAATCGCATGATATGGGTATGGGGTAGCCGAACCATGCGTTACAAGTGACAGAATAAGGGCCGTATATAATACAGTACGAGGAGATAGCATGGGTGATGTGCCTGTGCCGTACCGTGCTATTTTGCGAGCGTTCGATTCAGGGGATGTGGAATCCTCGTCTGACGCAGATCTGAGAGGCGAAGTAGTATATTTCGGGGACCGGAAAATTCCGCCAGATGTTGTACCATAATGATATTTCTGTCCATTCTGCGGTGGTGAGGTGTCTTTGGTACCGATACGCGATGTGCTTCCGGGTATCCTATCCTTTGAAAGAAGGCTAGATGTGACAGACTTCGGATCCTTGTTCCAATGGCGTCGATCAGTGGCAGATCCTGCTTCAACACCTAGATGTGAATTGGTAGGTGGATTCGTCCTATTGCCTTTCCACCAGCCGCGCTTGACTCTCCGGCCTTTACCTAGGCCGGTGTACCAAACCCATTGCAGACATAGACAAACATCTACAAAGACATAGTAGGTGGCCAAAACAACCTGCCATGTCGCCTGTCCAGTAAATAGGCCCCCGATCAAGTTACTCAGGTCTCCAAGTAGCCACTCCGTTAAGAAGAAGAAAGATAACCCAGCAGTACTTCGCAATTTCCAGTTCTTGTATATTTGTGGAAGTTGAGCGAACAGCCAGGAGCATATCGAAAGGATACCGAAGAGGGATGATAGGAAGGCAAGAGGCGTCGGCGTGCAAACGTGAAAGCTAGCGGAGAACCATTGTAAAAACGGTGTTGTGGGGTCGCAGTGTGAGGGAAGGGCGATGTGATGCTCGAGAACATGGAAGGATGGAGGACTGCTCCAGGCGATCGAACCCGTCATCGCCGAACGGAAGTGACCGCGAATCTAGGCGCGGGCGAATAAGGAATCTCGATATATGCAATCGATCATCCTTCAAGGTATATGTGTGCAATTGTGCCAGCGCTCGCGTCGCCGAAGGTTTGCGTCGTGTCGAGAAGAGGGTCGGAGGGGTACGCGACGGGTAAGGTGGGTCGCTTCGAAGTGCAGCAAACCGAACTGCTGTGCAGATAGTCGAGATTAAAAGTATATCTGGAATAAGCCTTGAATTCGATTTCTAAGCTGTTAATCGTATATGAGGGGGAGGTTGTTCAGGGGCCTCTTTGAAAGGACGACGGAGGCGAGAGATAAGATGTACTAGAACGACCAAATGCAAGGACAAAGTGCACAGGCGCTAAAAACAGGTCATGAAAGCTGCAAAAGCTTGACAGACGGATCGTGATAATGAAGTCCAGGAGAAACAGAGGAAATGTTGTCTACTTGAAAGGTTAAGAGGGGTGATAACAGCCTCTCTCAATTCTAATAATGTAGGGAGTCGATGCTGCGGCTTGTTGCACAGATGCCGGACCACCTGACAGAGCCCATATGATACTCCGATATGAGTCCCGCACCTCCGCAGTGGCTTATCAGCACCCCGCCCTTAGTTCAAGTTCGAGATAGGCTGCCACAGTGGCACAGACTCATCGTATCGCTATCGCTCTTCCGGGCGATGCAGGATCATCTTGAAGATGGCTTTGGAGGGCATTAATATTGAAAAGGACAGGAATCCGACCACATACATAGTATGGTGATAAATAAGACAGAGTGATCCAGCTTGAAGAGTGATAAGGCAGGATGAGAGCGGCACGTGACAATGCGTGGACATGTCGCCATTGCAGCCTTAGGCACCAAGGCAGTTAATCACGAGCGTAGCGAGTTACTTAAGTGGTCGTGGTAGAATCAATCTCATCCAATCATTCTCGATATTCGCCTTCTGATTGGCTGGACAGGGATTAGATTTGCTAAGCGAACTTAAATCACGTGAATGTAAATCACGTGATTGAATTCCTCCAATTGATCACTCTATTGTTGATGTGTGTGTGAATGAATCAATCACTCTATTATTACACCTCCGGCATGTCATCTTCTGGAGACCCTGGTGGTAGCGTATGCGCGAACTGCCGGTCCTGGAGGGTTGATAAGGAGTTTACTTCAAAATGTCGCCGACTACTAGTCAAGACTTGCTGGTGATGTCGTTATGGTCACGATCATGGTGACGCTGTAGGTAGAGTGAATGATTCCAATACGTTGAAGCTGACATCATTAGTCCCCCCATCTTCAACCCGCCATTATGTCTACACGAGATGCCTCATCCTCGCAACAAACCGACATTGAGGACGATAGGTCTTGGAGGCGGGAGACTTCCCTATTCCACCGTGCCGGGATACATAGCCAGGACGATGAGGATAGAGCCGCTGCTCGCAGAGAGTATAACGCTATGTCACGGGCTCATCGTGCTGCTACTCGTGTACACCGTCATGTCCAGCCGCTACCAATATTCGAAGATTATCTCCGGGGACAGAGGCTACCACTTTTACATCAACCGCAATCTAGTCAAGGTGCTCATGATGATGGCGACAACAGGTTTAGGCATATAAGTCCGATCTCCTTGGCCGGGTTATCCCAAATTCATGGCGATGAGCAACCACGTACACGACAACGGATAGAGGAGCAACGCGATCGTACACGTCAACGGAGAGATGAGCAACGCGATCATACACGTCAACAGCAAGATGATGATCGAACAGAAGCACTTCAGCGCGGAGATGTTCGCCTCGATCCCCAGTCCCGCGACTTCAACATCCAGGACGCCAATCTTTCCGAGCAGGATTGGACCTACGTCAAGGACTTCCACAAGGAGATGGCCAAACTATGCCTTGAACACTGCACTCGGTGTGACGAAAAATGGTTTGATATGCGTCTCATGGGTGGTAGTATATGTCATCGATGCAGGATCGACGATCGGAAACGTGGCGATTTACCACCGCTGTATTCCGCAGAGAATCATTTAAATCCTGGTCTAGGCCCGTCGCATTACGGTCTTCCTGAGTTATCTCAAGTAGAGGGGCTCCTCATCGCCCGTGTCCATTGTGCTGTGGAGGTTCGAAAGGTTAACGGTCTTCAGTACCGTTATACAGGGCATATCATCAACTTCATGCGAGACGTGGGGCGCGTATACAATCGACTACCTCTCCTTCCGAAAGACCTTGAGATCGTTGTCCTTCGCCCTGCGAATTGGGATCAGGATCCCCGTATGCAGCGCCAGTT